ACTGGTTAGAGAACCTATCTCTGACAAGACAAACTGTAGAATCTCCAAGACTTGGTGACTGGTTGGATGAAGGTAGGAAGGGAATGAGAGAAATCACAATTTCTGAGTGTGGAGGACTGGAGATATGCTGGGGTTATCAACAGAAATAAGGAAGTTGGAAAGATGAGCAAGACGAGGGATGAGTTCCAGTTTGGACATGCCGAGTTTTGTGAAGCTAATTCAGTAACATCTTAGCTACTTTACCAGTGCTGGCTGGGATTATAGGCAGGTGTGTGTTGGTAAAAGTTTAACAGGCTTTCTGAAAAACATGCATGTTTGACACACTTTTCAATTTAACCTGCATTATTAACATTTTCTCCATTGTGGGGTTCAAAATTGTACAATTTGCAAGAAAAACCATTGAGGCAGAGCGCCAAGCCATTAACCATTTATTAAAGGGACTGGACCCCTTCAATGAGTGACACCTCAGATTTTCCTCACCATCTGAGATACCTCCTTCCCCTGGAGCCTAACCTTTGTAGATCTTGATACCCAGACATTTAGAAGAGGCAAAGTAAAATGCAAAGTCTAATTGGTTGATAGACTGTTTTTGACCCTCCAGAAGGGCCAGAAATGGTGCACCAACATGGGTGGTTACAGGATGGGCAAGGCAAGGGTCATCTCCACTGACTAAGTGGACATAAGATGGTCCCCTGCTCACATTGGGTAAGAGAGGGTGGTCTGGATATACAAAAATAAGTTGGGGGACTTTCCATATCACATCAAGACATCTAATCCACACTCAGTTTGGTCATTACCCATCTTGTGGTTAGGCAAATGACTTCATAACTGCTAAGTAAATTGTGAATGGTGGATTCATAGGTTTTAAAGTTTGAGGTCTACTATAAGAAAGAATCTAATTATCTCTACATTATATATGTAAAGTATGCATTAATACATATTATTCTTATATTAATATTAGTTGACTAAATTGACCAAATGTATATTACTAGATAAGTATATCACTAATAATTGCTAACAATCATTACCCCTATGGAATCACACTGAACTAATTAACACTGATTGGAGAAAAATAGGGGTCTAATTAAAATCATCTTTGTCACCATCACTTTTTTTCAGTCTAGAAATCAACAAAACAGTAAATCAAGCCCTCACTTGTAGCCTTGGCTGATTTCCAAGGTGTAAATGCTCACACTGAAAACTTAACAATTGGCTCTAATGAGCCAGTTCTAGCTGGTTCCAGCACATACCTCATTCTAGGTCTTTTCTTCTCTTTTCCCAGCCCCACCCCTGCCCCCACTTTCTACCCTTCCCCCCAAATTAGAATTGCTCTTTATCTTCCAGAAGAAGGTACTACTGCTGAGCTAATATTGATGACTAATGGTGTTAAATAATATAAAAGTGATTTGTAAAAATATTAGGGGACGTGGATATGTGTCATGGCTGGGCTGCAGGACTATGTGTAGTGATGGTCTTTCAGCTCCACTTCCCTATGTGTCAGATCAATTTTATTTTGAACCTAACAGTAATACAGATGCTCCCTTGGCACCCGAAGCCTGCCCTACACTCCTGTAGGTTATGTCAGCAGAGCACAAGTGCTGGCCAGTCCTCTCAGACTGGAAGGGCTTCACATACAAGTCCAGCAAGAGATTTAGTGCTTGGGCTAAAATTGAGAGGCACATCACCAGAAGGCTGGCTACCATTGGCCTGGATTATTTCAATAGCTTTCTGTTTGGTCTCTCTGCTCCATCAAAAAAGTGAATTTCTTTTTTTAAAATTTCTTTCTTTCTTCTTAGTTTTTAGCATTCACTTTTATAAGTGTTTGAGTTCTAAATTTTTCCCTTTCCCTCCCCTCTCCCCTCCCCAAGATGGCATGCAATCTGATATAGGCTATATATGTACAATCATATTAAACATATTTACATATTAGTCATGTTGTGAAAGAAGAATCAGTACAAAAGGGAAAAACCATGAGAAAGAAAAAAACAAAAAAAAGAAATAAAGAGAAAATAGTATGCTTCCATCTGCATTCAGACTCCATGGCTCTTTCTCTGGATGTGGATAGCATTTTCCATCATGAGTAAAAGTGAATTTCTCAAAGGGCAGTTTTGACTAGGTCAAAATGTGCCCCCCTCACCCTGCTCCCTCCCCTCCACTTCCTCCTCAATAAAGTTTAGTGGCTCCCTTTTACCTCCAGGATCAAATATAAAATCCTGTATTTTTTTTTTTCATTGAGATACCATTTTAAAAATTAAAAACATTTAATTGATGTTTTTTTTTACATTACCAAAATTTCCCCCAGTATCTCTCCCCTCGATCTCCCAGGGAGCCATTCCATATAAGAAATAATATTTTTTAAAACAAAAAAACACAGCAAAACTAATCAATAGATTGAAAAAGTCTGAAAATATGTACCATACTCATAGACCTTCCACTTCTACAAAAGAGTAAGATGGGGGTTTCTCATCTTTTCTTTTGAACCATGCTTTTTTTTGTAATTTTGTAATATTCACTTTAGATTATTTTGTGGTTGTTCTTTCCATGTACATTGTTGTAATCATTGTGTATATTGTTTTCCTGGCTCTGCTTACTTCACTTTGCATCAATTCATAAAGATCTTTCCATACTTCTCTGTATTCATCATATTTCTTACAGCATAGTAATATTCCATTACATTCATGTACCACAATTTGTTTAGCTATGCCCTAGTCATTGGGCATTTACTTTGTTTCTAATTCTTTGCTATCACAAAAAAGTGCTGCTATAAATATTTTGGTGTATGTGGGGACTTTCTTCTTACCAATGGCTTCTTTGGGGTATAAGCCTAGTAGTGAAATCTCTGGGTCAAAGGGCATTTTATTCACTTTATTTGCATGATTCCAAATTGATTTCCAAAATGGTTGTACTGATTCACAGCTCAGACAATGGATTTGTGAGCCAATCTTTCCATACTTCCCATACCCTTCCCAATTTTTGTCATCTTTGCCAATTTGAAGGTTGTGAGGTGAAACCTCAGTATTGTTTCGATTTGCACTTCTATTATTGAGTCGGATCATTCTTTCATATGATTGCTAATAGTTTGCAATTTTTATTTGGAAAACTGTTTATAACCTTTGACCTTTTCCTTATTGGGAAATAACTTTTGTTCATATATCTATATATATATCTATATATATATCTATATCTATATCTATATCTATCTATCTATCTATCTATCTATCTATCTATCTATCTATCTATATATATCTATCTATATATATATATATATATATATATATCCCAAGTTTGAATCCTGGATGTTCTATTTACCTGTGTAGCCTTGGAGAAGTCATGCAATCTCTCTGGCTACTAGATGGCGCCATAGTGCAGAGTGCTGGGTCTGGAAACGAGTTCAGCCTCAGGTACTTACCAGCAGCGAGAGCTTGGGCAAATCATTTCACTTCTGTATGCCTCAGTTTCTTCAACTGTACAATGGGGATAATAATAGCAGCTACCTTCCAGGGTGGTAGTGAAGATAAAATGAGTTAACATAGGTAAAGTGCTACATAACTGCTAGCTATTATTATTCTCTGGGCATCAGTTTCCTCATCAGTGAAATGAGGGGGTTGAATTAGATGATTTTAAGGTCCCTGCTAGCTCTAAATCTTATCATTGAACAAAGCATAGGAACACTAGACTTAGCTTCAAGAAATCTTTAAGCTTTGAATTCCAGTTCCGCCATTTATTAGGCATGTGATCTTGGGTGAGGTCATTTAACTTCTGCAAAATGGGCTTAGTAAGCAGTTTCACTCCCTCATTGGGATATTATGAGGAAAGTGCTTTGCAAGCCTTAAAATGCTATGAAAATGTGAACTGGCAACTTTCTGAATATGTAGCTACACATGCATGCCGGTGTATGGGGAGTGACAGGAGCTGAAGGTGTGTGGGTGGTGGTGGTCTAGCAGCTCCACTTGCCCGGGAGTAGAAATTTCTCTCCCTGTAGCTCTCCTCCCAACAGCCCCAAGTTCTGCTCTCTGGGACTGTATAGAACAGGATTGCTTCCCCTGCCCTGTGATAATTTCTCAAATACCCGAAGTCAAATCAGAAAGCATGTCTCAAGTGCCTTGTATGTATAAGACAGTGTTAAGCACTGAAGACAGTTATCATGTTCCCCTAACTCTTCTCTAGGCTGAATATAATTACTTGCTATTTCTGAGTCTCAGTTCTTCATCTACAACATGAGGGGCTTGGACTAGATGCTGTTCAAAGTTCCTGCCAACCTTCACTCTATGATCCTGTGAACTCACATTTATACGGGGTGTCCTAAAATATCTTAGTGTAATTTAAAACCTCAATTGCATTAAGATTTTTTTAGACACCATATATAGTGTTTTAAAATTTGTAAGGTGCTGTACAGACATCTCACTTGAGTTTTATGACAACCCAGTGATGATTCCCTATTTTACAGATAAGAAAAATCAAGATTTTAAAAACTGAGGAGAGATGTCACACAGCTAAGTGGGTATCAGAGGCAGGATTTGAACCCAGGTCTTGCCAACTCCAGATTTTGTGCTTTATTTTCCATAGCACATTGCTTCTTGCAGAACCATCCCTGGTTTCTTCCACCAATACTCAAAAGGTACAGTCTCTGACTCCTTTTCCATGGTCACCCTTCTCTGCATATGCTCCAGTTTGCCAATGTCCTTAAAGGTGGCCTGAAACTGAAAACAATACATCAGAATGGGGTCTTGAGCTGGACAGAAGACAATGAAACTACTACCTCCTTGAGCATGAAACTGGGCTTCTATTTATGCAGCCTAAACTCTACCGAGGAGTCAGGTGACCCACATTCTAATCCTAGTATATTCTTGGGAAAATATCTTGGGTACTCACTTTGACTTAGTTTGTCTATCTATCAAATAGGATGAATAACCCCCTGCGCACTACTTACTTGCAGGGAGTTTCTATGGATCCAGTGATAAGGCGCATGAAAATAGATTTGAAAAGAATGAAGCATTACACAGACTTGAGGGATTGTTATTATTTTCAATGGAAGAAGATATTCCAGGAGCCCAGTCCACTGACTCTCTCCTCTCTGCCTCCCCTTGTGCCCCCCGATCTTCTCTTTTCCATTGACTCAGTCCATCCCCCAGGCATCAGTCCCCTATCCTTCTGACCGATTTCTTGCTGGATGGTCAAAGGCGACATCTGGAAGCCTGGTGGGTAGGAACATGCCCTTTCCATTCCCGAGGATGGAACAGTGGAGGTGGTGGCCAAGGCATCTGGCTCAGTGTGCCTACTGGTTATCTCAGCTACTTGCTCTTGAGGCCCATGCTGGGATTTCTAAAACTCTGGAGTGAGGTATATGATTGTCTATTGTCCTTCTCTTCTTTCACACCCTGATGCTCATCTTCCCAAAGTACAGCTTTTAAGAACCCATCTCTCTCCTGTAGCTCCAAATAGCCCACAGGGCAAAGTTCAGACTCTTTACTGTGGCATTCAAAGTCTTTTGAGCCTTGAAGTCTGACCTATCTTATCAGTGCTTTCTTGTACTGCTCCCCGTCATATACTCTACGTCTTAACCAGATGGGGTGAACCAAAGTTTCATCCTTTCCCTTTTCTGTGCCCTGCTTACCAACTGTTCCCTTTACCTGAACTTCCTTCACCTCTCTCAATAGCTCTGTTTTGAAATCCTCTACAAATGCCAGGCTCTTCCTTTAAATTAATCTTTAATCATGAAGGAGAGGGAGAGCTTCAGACTGACATTCTTAGGACCAGCTAAATCAGCAGAGGTCATTTATTGTCATTAGAACAGTATGTGCCATGCCCCTGGCTCACTTTTGCTACCCAGATACAGACAAATAGAGCTAATCAGGCACCCCTATCTTCCTGGGACATCCAGATGGTATCCAAACTTTGAGCTGTGAAACTCACGGAAGTTAACAAGGAATGAACATTAACTCACAATGAGGAAATGCTGACCCCAGAGCCTAAGGCAGCCACTGCTGGGAGAGATCCCCAAATTCCTCAGCCTTGTTTCTATCTCTTATGTCCACAATTCATCTCAATCATACTCTGGGCTTCCCAGTGAAGATTTGGCTGCCCTCGAGATCACTCTCTTTCATACACTCCTTTTTGCTCATTGTTGCTAGGAAAATGCTTGATCGCAGCAGTTGACTCCCAGAGTAGACTGCTATCAGGTCTTTCAACTGGTTTTCCTGAGTCTCCTATGCTGCAGCATCATGGCATGGCTTCCTTTTGTGGGCCAGACGTCACTTTCTATGATTGCTTTGCCTGATACACACACACAAACACACACACACACACACACACACACACACACACACACACACATTTCAAATGCTGCCTCTTCTTCCAGGAAGTCTTCCCTGGTCCTCCACCCCCCACCCCTCCTCCACCCAGATGTCAACGTTGATCACCACCTAGTGAGAAATGTTCTCTCCTTTTGAGCACCTCTGCCCATCCAGCCCTGTGTCTGTACTTTCATTATGGTCCTTAGCATATTCTACTTTGTATTATGATTATCTGTGCACATGTCTCTTTCACCAGAGTATAAGGTACAAGGCAACACGGACTGCGTTGTATTCTTTGCTGTGTCTTACCACAGCACTGTGAACAGAGCAGTAAGTGTTTGGTGAACTGAATTACACATGGGAGCACTGAGGGACTGAGTCACTTGTGTGATCTAAGGTAAACCACTTTCCCTCTCTGGGCTTCAGTTTCCACAATCCGTAAAGTGAGGGGGTTGGAGCTGTTGTAGACCTAGCTCTAAATCCTAGGATGATCTTTGGTACAGCCAGATTCAACCTCAGAATCTGAACGGCTGGAACGTTGGCATCCCACTTGCCAGCTGGGGCCTCAGGACTTAGCCAGTCTCAGCGGGCCTGGGTCCACCTCCTTGCCATCCCCACAGCATCAGATCATTGACACTCGATTCTTGATGTAGACATGATAGGGATCGCTGCGCTTGTCCACCTTGCGGGAGCGTGTGTAGCCCAGGATGAGGCTGCCGACTGTGGCAGCAAAGAGAAACATGACAAAGAGGATGTACATGTAGGAATGGTCATCTCGGCCAGTCTGGGGAGCTTGGGTCTGGTTACCCAGCAGGGGTCCTGGGCCTGGTCCCGGCCGACAAGGAAGGCTCCTGTGTAGTGTGGCATTCAGGGCTCTCAGAACGGCCTGCAGGCTCTCATACCAAGGCTCTGTCCCATTGGGAGTCTCCATGGTCCTAGGAGGCCTCAGCAGCAGGGTAGGAAGAGGATGCTGAGCTCACCAACTGATGAGAGAGAGAGAGAGAGAGAGAGATTTCTTTCTCTTCTTTATTTGAAACCATACCTAACCTTACCTGGGTGGCTCAGTGAATAGAGCACTGGACTTGTCATCAGGAAGAACAGAATTCAGTTCTAGCCTCAGATACTTCCTAGCTGTGTGACCCTGAGCAAGTCACTTAACTTTTGTCCACCTCAGTTTCTCCAACTGTAAAATGGAGATAATAATAGCACCTACCTCCCAGGGTTGTAGTGAGGATCAAATGAGATAATATAGGTAAAGTGCTTAGTAGAGTGCCTGGCACATAGTAGGTACTGATAAACATTCGTTCCCTTCCCCCTTCCTTAAAGGTCCAAATTCAGTCCCACCTCTTCCAGGAAGCCTTTCTAACCCACAGAGCTCTCTCCTTTCATCGCCTTCTACAGCCCCCAGGTTGGAAGTTGTTAACTTTGTTTTGTTTCTCTGAGAACCTCCATTTTAAGGAACTTGCCCAGACCAGCCATGTTCCCTCCTTCATTCCTCTTTGGGATCCACTTTGGCCTCTACAAGGACCTTGAAATTACCTACTTTCACCCTCCTCAAACCGCTCCAATTTTCTGTTTCTTTTTATAAGTGGCTTTCCCCCCCTTAGAATGCAAACATCTTGAGGGCAGAGACTATCTATCTGCTTGTATTTCCAGTGTTTAGCAAAAGCCTGGCACTGGAAAACTCTTTATCAATGCTTATTGACTTGACTTGTTGACTGTGCTGGCTCTTGGGATTGGGGGGGGGGGTTGACTTTCCATGGTAAACTAGGGTAGTTTCCTAGACAGAAATAGGGAAGTTCTGAGGTCTGGTGGCTTTTGGGGGAAAGATAATGAGTTCTGTCTTGGACAAACTGAGTTAGGGATGTGTGTGATACACTTAGTTCAAAGTGTCCCATGGGGATACAGTAAGCACTTAATAAAATGCTTGTTGACGTCTCTGTCCAGATACCTTGAGCAGTCTGATAAATTCTATGGACCCCTTCTCTGCATCACCATGCTTTAAAAAGCTAAAATAAAATACATAGAATCCTGTGTAGTCCCAAAGGAAATCAATTCTATTGAAATGTGGGTATAAGAATATTTTTTCAAACAAATTCAACCATTCCAGGTTAAGAACCCTTGCTAGAGTCTGAACCCCACAGTATTGTACCTAGTGTATTCTGTTTCAGTTATGTGAGTCTTCTCTGAGACCCAGCAAAGTACTGGAAACTGCCCCGAATTAGTATCTGTGTCTCTTTTTACTCCGTCTTCTCCGAGGTAGCCAAGAAAGGGGCTGGCCACCCTGGGGGAATTAAAAAAAGACTGATTGACAGATTGATTAGGGGCAAGGTATTGATTATGGCATATTCTTAATTCTGGTTAACATTTACAATGTACAATATTTACAACTTTTTAAATTGAGGGGAATATAGTATTTCAAAAAGGATTAATATTAGTTTCTAGACTTTGGTCAGTCTGAGGTTTGTGTGACCTTGGGCAAAACTTTCTTCCTGTATGGGCCTCAGTTTCCTCATTTCTGTTCCAAGCTCTGTTCCAGCTCTGATATTCTATGATCTAAGGTCCCTCTCAGCTCTGACATTCTGTGTTCTAGGGTCCCTCCTGGTTCTGCTATTCTATGCTCTAAGATCCCTCCCAGCTCTGACCTTCTGTGGTCCAGAAGCATTCTGTCTGCTTTCATGTTCTATGTTCTAGGGCAAGGGATGACCCTTGTCTTCGGTTCTTTGTGTTCTATGACTTTGAGAGGCTGTGGAGGAGGTATGAGGGCTGAGTGTAGTCTTCAAGGAATGGTACTTGAAAGCCAAAAAAAGCTAGGGGGACCCTCTTTGTGGCAAAATATTGGGGTGCCAGAGATCCTGGTTCCAGAGTATGTCTGCCATCCTCTCCCAGAGCTGAGTGTGTCCCTGGGAAAAGTCTTCAGCCTCAGGTTGTGCAGTAAGCTGCCTGAGACCTTGTTAGGTGCTGTTACAGGGTAAGAAAGACTGCATCCCTGGTAATCAGTTCTGAGCCCTTCTCTCTTCACTTGGGTATAACTGTGCTAGAATGGGTAGCTAGGTGGCACAGTGGATAGAGAGCTAGCCTGGAGTCAGGAAGACTATTCTTGGTGAGTTCAAATCTGTCCTTAGACACTTACGAGCTATGTGACCCTGGGCAAGTCACTTAACCCTGTTTGCTTCAGTTTCCTCATCTATAAAATGAGCTAGAGAAGGGAATGGCAAAGCACCCCAGTATCTTTGCCAAGAAAACCCCACATGGGGTCACAAAGAGTTGGACAGGACAGATAATGACTAAACAACAATAATCTGTGTCAGAGTTCTCAGGACCCTGGCATGTCCTGTCTTCCCTTTCCAACCAGCAGTTCCCCAAGTCCAAGGGAACATAGCCCTTGTCTCCCCCTCAGACCAGGAAGTCTCCTAAGAGCAGGGGCTTTTTCTAAGATTAGGGAGTCCCCAGCGGCAGGAGCCATAGGCGGCTCCTTCCCCACCTGCCAAGGGTGCCTCCACAGACTATATTCTTATAACCTCCTGGCTGTCATTTAGGTAGGAAGGAAAGATGGGGGAGCCTTCTACTCTGGAGTGTTAGTGCTACTGATTAGCTGAAGCCACATAATCCCAAATGTATTAAGCCAAAGGCATATTCTCTAGCAAAGCTACAGGTCAAAACTGTCCTCATCTTCCATAAATACTGATGAACCCTTCCTTCACATCCCCTGCTTCCAAGTACGAAGTTGGGAGCAACCCAATTAGGGCCACATTATAGGGTCCTATCAGATGCCAGACTAGATTATTTCCTCCTTCAATCACAACTGACATAGTCCTTCAAAGTCGGCACCCTATAGTTGGTATACCACTTTGGCTGGGCTGCAGGAAGAAAAGATAGGAGCTAAGCTGAGTGTGCTTGATTTGGAACCACGAGACCAGAGTTTGAGTTCCAGATTCCACATTTAACTAGCTGTGCAAATTTACAATTCACTTCCCTTTTCTGAGTCTCAGTCTCCTAATAATAGTAGCTAGTATTTATAAAGCCTAGCAGGGAGAGAGGAGGGAGGGTGGAGAGGGAAAAGACAGAAAAATGATGGGGGTGGGAACCCAAAACACCAAAACACAGACCATAGCCTCAAACCCAGGCTGGTATAGCAGAGGATTTCATAAAATCAAAGATGCTAGGGATGGAAAAGACCTTATTACAACACAGAATGTCAGCACCTCCAGGGCTTTGCTAGAATCACAGAATTTCAGGGCTGGAAAGGACCTCAGAAGTCATTCAGATGAATTCCCTCATTTTGTAGTTGGGGAAGCTAAGGGCTAGGGAGGGGAGAGGACTTTGTCCAAGGTCACACACCAAGTGTCAGAGCCTTGACTGGGTCACAGTTGCCCCAGGCTATGGGCTTTGCCATTTCTGCTACCCTACTTCCTTACATGGGCTCGGCTGAATCAATTTGGTGCTGGAAGAACCTAGACAGGTCCCAGAAATGAACTATTAAAAACAAAGCAGTATATATCTGGCACCCTCTCACTCCCCTTGACTCTTTAGAAACCCTTCCCAGACCCTATTCCTTAGATTTCTCTTCTCTGGAGGCTGCTGGGTGGTGCAGTAGCTAGAGTGCTGTTTCTGGAATTAGGAAGACCCGGATTCAAATCCAATCTCAGACACTTACTAGCTGTGTGACCCAGGGCAAGTGACTTAATCTGTCTGCCTCAGTTTCCTCAACTGTAAAGTGGGGATAATAATAGTACCCACCTCCCCAGGTTGTTGTGAGGATCAAATGAGATAACACTTTAAAAGGCAATCCAATTTTCTGGGGGTATTTGTGGTTTCATGGGGAACTCATGAAGTCAAGAACAAGTCTTTAAGAAGAATAAGAGGAATAAAATTGTAATGGCAACAAGAGACCATGGACCTTGTGAGGAAGGGGAGAGAAGCAACTGGAAGACCTTTGAGCTAGAAGTTCAGGAGTCCTCCATACAAATCTTGTCGCCTCAATTCCCTTCTTGGTAAAATGAGAGTTTGTATTAGATCTGAAGAGCCCTCTCAGCTCTGAATTCATTGTTCTATATTCTCTTCAACTCCTAATGTTCTGTGTTCTAAGGGCCTTTCCAGATCAGACATTTTGTGTTCTAAGCTCTGTTCCAGCTCTGATATTCTATGATCTAAGGTCCCTCTCAGCTCTGACATTCTGTGTTCTAGGGTCCCTCCTAGTTCTGCCATTCTGTGCTCTAAGGTCTCTCCCAGCTCTGACCTTCTGGGGTCCAGAAACATTCTGTCTGCTTTCATGTTCTATGCCCTAGGGCAAGGGATGACCCCTGTTCTGTAGTTCTATGTGTTCTAAGACTGTGAGAGGCTGTGGAGGAGGTATGAGGGCTGAGTGTAGTCTTCAAGGAATGGTACTTGGAAGAACTGGGTTCTAGAAAGGCCTGACCTAAACAGGAACAGAGGTGGGCAGAAGGAGAGAAGAATGCTGAAGGAAAGTCCAGAGAAGATCAGGCCATGGGGCAAACAGAGGGATGAAGACTGAGGAGGGATGGGGGCTCTGTGAAGAGTCCTGGGGAGGTATCTCTAAAGTTCCCTTCCACCCCAGGCCCAGGTAGCAGGGTATCAGAATGCAAAGAGCACCGGCCTCCATATGAGGAGATCTAGGTCGAAGGGGAGGCAACTAGGTGGTATAAGATAAAGTATAGATGTTGGGAGTTTGGAAGACCTCAGTTGGAATCCCACCTCAGACACTTAATAGCTGTGTAACCCTGGATATGTCATTTAATTTCTATTTGCCTTGGTTTTCTCATCTGTGAAATGAGGATAATAAGAGCACTTACCTCCCAGGGTCCTAGTGAGAATCAAATGAGTTAACACATGGAGATTTTTGCAGGCCTTAAAGGCTGTATCAGTGCTAGCTATTATTATGTTAAAGTGCCCTATAGGATACTTACAAGTTTTGGTGGCCTTGAGCAAGTCCCTTCCCTGTGCTGGGCCTCAGTTTCTTCCTCTGTAAAACAAAAGGGTAGTCTAGATGATCTGTCTATGAAACCCAACTCCAGCTCAGTCACTTCAGACTGGTTCTGGGCCCTGTTTTCATACCTGTGGGCTCTCTCTCTCTCTCTCTCTCTCTCTCTCTCTCTCTCTCTCTCTCTCTCTCTCTCTCTCTCTCTCTGTCTCTCTCTCCCTCTCTCTCCCTCTCTCTCCCTCTCTCCCCCCCCCACCAGCTCTGAGATGTTAGAACCTCTCTATTCAGCCAGACAGGCGTGTTTGTGACCCCCAATTAGTAGAGGTTAAAATGACAGAACCTGACTTCGTTATTGAATGACAGAAAGAATAAAGAACTGTGGTGGTGGCAGGGGGAGGGTGTACACTGAGAACCCAACCTCAATGATACTGCAGTAGCAATAGCTAGCATTTGTATAGTACTTTACACGTTATCTCATTTGATTTTTTTTTTTTGGTAAGGCAATTAAGTGACCCGCCTAGGGTCAGACAGCTAGTGTCAAGTGTCTAAGGTTGAATTTGAACTCAGGGCCGGCGCTCTATCCACTGTGCCACCTAGTTGCCCCATCTCATTTGAGCTTCACAACCACCCTGTGAAGTCAGCACTATTAGTAGCTCCCTTTTGCAAATGAGGAAACTGAGGCTGAGACAGGTAAAGTGACTCCCGGGGTTACATAGCTAGGAAGTATCTGAGGCAGGCGTTGAACTCAGACCTTGCTGACTCCGGTGAAGCACTCTACTCACTGCACAGTTCAGCTGGGCAGCGAAGGCTACCTCTCTAAAGACAGGTTCCTTTTCTTTCACACTCTCTTGCTGATAGGGACCTTCCTCTCCCTGCTGTCTTGGAGAAAGACACAGATTTTGCCTTCAGGAAACCCCTGTATGAACAGGGAGATAACCTCTACCCTCAGAGAATCTGAGGGTTGGAGGGGGAACACATGGTCCTTGAGGAGCCCCACTCCCCATCTTGGGGAGTCAGTTTCTGCCCTAACCTGAAGGAGACATATAATAAGCATGAAGGTGGAAAGAATTACCAAGCCTTCTAAAGAGGATTCCTATGACAGCCAGACTCCAGGGAGAAAAACTATGGAGCCTCACAGAATTAGTCTGGAAAGTCTTCTTGGAAGAGGTCATTGATTTGGGGTGTCCTATTTAAAGGCAGGGCCACACGCACTGTGTGTCCAGCCCCACAGCTCTCTGTGCAGCATCAGGGATTTGCTGCCCTGCCCCACTGCTGGGGGCCCAACAACAACTTCGTCCAGTGTCAGGAAGGAAGGAGCCCTGTGATCCTCCACAAGGCCTCTCACCCCATTGCTACTTCCCTTTTCTGTGGCTTCTTTCCAGTCTTGATCTAACATGAAGGAACCAACACTTCTCCCTTTCCCTTCCTCCCTATTGCTACACCCCTATTCACCATCCCCTAAACATCCCACGGTCACTGTAGTTGCTTTGCTCACAAAGTGCCCCATTCCCGGAGTGACTTCGGGGGGGGTGTCTTTCCCTCTCCTGACACTATATCCAAAGCCTCAACAGCTTTCAAGATCTAATCCAGTTCTATCTCATCCTAGGATCATATCTAATCCAGACCCCTCCTTTTACAAATGGGGAAAGTGAGGGCCAGCCAGGGGAAGGAATATGCCTAGGGTCACCCAACAAGTCAATACCAAACTGAGGTCTTCTGACTTCCAAGTCCTGGGTTCTTTCCACTATATCCCCCTCTGCTTCTCCTTCCTCTCTGTTTGAGTGCCTACCAAATAAACTGTCTGAACCCATTCAATCAGACACTTACTATGTACTTACTGTGTACAAAGCATTGGGCTAGCAGGCAACTAGCATTTATTAAGCACCTACTATGTGCCAGGAACTGTGCCAAACACCAGGGATACAAAAAAGGCAAAATACAGTCCCTGCCCTCAAGGAGCTTATAGTCTAACGGGTGGGGGGCAATATGCAAGCAACTTAGTACAAACGAGGACTATACTGAGTACACAGGGAGTAATCTTAAAGGGAATGGACTAAGATTAAGGAGGACTAGGAAAGGCTTCTTGCAGGAGGTGGGATTTTAGCTAAAACTCGAAGGAAACTAGGGAAACGAGGAGGCAAAGACAAGGAGGGAGACAGTATGGAGTGCCTGGTGTAAGGAAAAGCAAAGAGGTCAGTGTCATTGGATCTAAGAATGTGTGTGGAGGAGGGTAAAAGTATGAAGGAAGCTAGGTGGCACAGTGGATAGAGCACTGGGCCTGGAGTCAGGAAGACCTGAGTTCAAACTCAACCCACAGACACTACTAGCTATGTGATCCTAGGCAAGTCACTGAACCCTATTTGCCTCAGTTTCCTCATCTGTAAAATGAACCCTGTTTGCCTCAGTTTCTCATCTGTAAAATGAATCTGTAAAAAGGAAATGGCAAACCACTTCACTTAAATAGGGTAACTAGGAGTTGGACATGATTGAAATGACTCGACAACAAAATTATAAGAAGACTGGAAAGGTAGAAGGGCCAGGTTTTGAAGAGCTTTAAAAGCCAAACAGAGGATTTCATTTTTTATTCTGGAGGTAATAGGGAGCCACTGGAATTTACTGAATAGGGGAGGTGACATAGTCAGACCTCCATTTTAGAAGAGCAATCTGGGAGCTGAGTGGAGGATGGACTAGATTGGGAAGAGATTTGAGGTAGGAAGACAACCAAGCAGCCTATGGGCTAGGGAGGCGGAAGTTTTAATAAGGTGAAATCTCTGTCCTAATGGAGCTCAGTCTGTCCTATGGAATCAAACATAAACATAGGTAAAGCATTATGCAGGATAAGCATGTTGGGGAGGTGCGAAGAGATCCAAGAAAGAGAAAGGTCATCACTAACTAGGGAGGACAGAGAAGGCTTCCTGGAGGAGGTAGCTCATGAGCTGAGGTTTAAAGGACTAGAAGGAATTCAACAGGGAAACAGGGGGAAGGAAGGCAATTCATGCTTAGAGAAAAGGCATGGAAAGGGAGAAAACTCCAGGTCATTTGGAGGCTCCACAGAACTCACCATTTAATCCGTTTGTACTTAATCAATGTAAGTAGTTACTGGTAGATTGGGCAGTGGTAACTGTACTATATAGTATCTAATTTTAGAGGTAGGAGCCAGATTGTAGTGGTGAAATAGTAAATAAAAAGTTGAGGGGCAGCTAGGTGGCACAGTGGATAGAGCACCAGCCCTGAAGTCAGGAGGACCTGAGTTCAAATTCTGCCTCAGACCAAACACTGGTCACTTATTAGCTGTGTGACCCTGGGCAAGTCACTTAACCCCCCTTGCCTAAAAAAAAAGAAGAAAGTTGACCTTAAAAGATAGAAAAGGTTATAGGAAGTAAAATAATTTTGATTATATAAAGTGGAAATTTTTTTTACACAAACAAAAGCAGTGCAGCTAAAATTAGAATAAAAGTAGGAAATTGGGGGAAAATCCTTGCAGGAAGTTTCTCTGATAAAAATCTGATTTCTCAAATATATAGGGAACAGAGCCAAATTTATAAGAATAAGAGCCATTCCCCAATTGATAAATGGTCAAAGCATATGAACTCACAGTTTCAGAGGAAAAAAAATCAAAGTTCTCAATCGTCATATGAAAAATTGCTCTGTCATTAATAATCAGAGAAATTAAAATTAAAACAATTTTGAGGTACCACCTCACAGCCATCAAATTGACTGAGGTGATAGAAAAGGAAAATGGCAAATACTGGAGGGGAATGTGGGAAAATAGGTGCACTAATGCAGGGTTGGTGGGCAATTCGGAACTATGCCCCCAAAGTTACTAAACTGTACATTCTTTTAATCTAGTGATTCTGCTGTTAGGTATATGTACCCCCAAAGAGATCAAAGAAAAAGAAAAAGAACGTATACATACAAATATTTATAGCAGCTCTTTTTGTGGTGGCAAAGAATTGGAAACTGAAGGAATGCCTATTGACTGGAGAATGGCTGGACAAGTTGTGGTATAAGATTTCAATGGGATACTATTGTGCCATAAGAAATGATGGAGAAGGTTTCAGAAAAACTGGGGAAGATTTATATGAATTGATGCAAAGTGATGTGAACAGAACCAGGAGAACAATTTATACAGGAACAGCAATATTGTAAAGATAATCAACTGTGAAAGACTTAGTGATCCTGATCATTAATTACAATGACCCACCACAGTTCCAAAGGGGCTCATGATGAAAAATGCAATCCACCTCCAGAAAGAGAACTGATGGACTTATAATTTGATTGGAGCATACTTTTTTCTCTTTCTTTCATTTAAAAAAAAATGGATAGTGCAGAAATTTGCTTTACACAATTTCATGGTTTTATATTTCTTGATTTCTCAATAGGTGGGAGAGGGAAAACATCTGGAACTGAAAATAAAATAAAATTGAATTCAAAAAGAAAAAAGAAAAAAAAGTTGACTTTAGAGTCAGGAAGCCCTGGGTGCAAGTCCTGCCTTTGACATACTGCTTGTGTGACCCTGGGCAAAAGCCTTAACCTCTTAGTTCCCTAGGAAATTTCCTAGGCCTATACATTATAAAGAAGATGCCTATCTACATTGGTAGAGGGAGTTTCCTCGCCTGGGAGTTCCCTATGCCAATGGAATTCCAGGTCCAGTTACACACAAACGTGTATAAATAAATATGTGTGTATATGTTTATATACACAAATGTGTATGCATACATGTTTGTTCAAAAATTGGGGCAACTAGGTGGCACAGTGAATAGAATACCAGGCCAAGAGTCAGGAAGACCCCAGTTCAAATCCAGCCTCAGACACTGGGCAAGTCACTTAACCCTGTTTGCCTCTGTTTCCTTGTCTGTAAAATGAGCTGGTGAAGGAAATGGCAAACCACTCTGGTATCTCTGCCAAGAAAATCCCAAATGGGGTCATGAAGAGTCAGATATGGCTGAACAACAAAGTGTTTAAATATATAAGGCACGCACACACACATTATATATGTATAGGGGTGTGTGTATGTGTGTGTGTGTGTGTGTGTGTGTGTGTGTTTTCCTTGACAGCAAGCTGTTTTGGTCTTTGTCCAGTGCTCTACATGCCTGGCTCAGAGTAGGTGTTTAATAATTGCTTGCTGATTGGTTGATGGATATCAGGAAAAGTTAGTGAGATATCCGAAAAAAAGGTAAAGAGCTGCTCAGAGGGTAGGGTTAATCCCAGGAAGTGAATTTTTAAGTGGCTTTTGGGGCTCAGCAGGGTAATAATGTGCTTCAGACATTTAATGCAAAAGGTAAACATTCTGGGTCCAAGTTACTAGTAACACCCTCTAGTGTGTGCCTAAGGACTGGGGGTTGGGCAGGCACACTCACCCATCTACCTCAAGCCACTCTTTAACAGAGAGCCTATGGTCTTCCTTTCGTACCATGTTTTCTCCTTTCTCAGGTTAATTTCCACATTTTCATCTTCTGTCCTGAGCTCCCTTCAATCTTTTTTCCCCCTTTCCTTCCCAATCAAGAAAGGGCCTCGGACTCTATCCTCCCCAAGTGACAGCATCTGTTTTCCTCTTCATATTCTTTATATTGTCATATAGTCATATTCCTCATGTAACCTGGTTCAGTGGAAAGGGTCTTAAAGTCAGAAAACTTGGGTCCTAACCTTAGTTCTGCCAAGTGACTTGGGGTGCGTGTGTGTGTGTGTGTGTGTGTGTGTGTGTGTGTGTGTGTGTAGGACTTTAGGCAAAGCACTTCAAGGGGCAGCTGAGTGACTTGTCTTGTTAATCTAGGGGTTTGGACTGGAAACCCCTGTGGGCCTTCCAACTCTCAGGCACTATGGTCCCCCTCTAACACAATTTCCTTACCTGTAAAATGGGGACAGTTAATTTTGAGGAACAGCAAGGTGTGTAGTGGAAAGAGTTCTGAGCTGGACTTTGAGTCAAAAGATCTGGGTTTAAGACTTAGCTGTGCCACTTAATGAGTTTGTGACCTTGGGCAAGTCATTCAATGACACTGAGCCCAAGTTCTTATCAGCCTCCCTTCTTGAGAAAACTGAGGCTCTGAGACATTAAATGACTTGTTAACTTAAGAGAGGCAGTAATGTAGGGGGCTGTGGTGAAAATCAAACAAGAGGAGGTATTGGGAAAGAGCTTTGAGGAGTAGAAATATCTGCCCAAGTGAAAGAGGCCCAGAGAATCTCAAGGTGTTTGCTCCTGTCAGTCAACACCTCCCTCTCCCTTTTTTTTTTTAAAGTTCTTTCCTCTTTCAAAGGCATTCAGACTGGATGGAGTCCTATGAGGTGGGGTAAGGGTGTGACAAAAGGACAGGGATGCTGAAGAATTTAGCTGGTGATTTAATGAGTTTAAACATCCCAGTGCAGACAGTGTTAGTGGCCTGGACTGGCTGTCAGGAAACCTGGGTTCTAAATCCTGATTGTCACTGGCTTGCTGTGTAACCTGGGATAAGACATTTTCCATTTTAGCGCCTCGGTTTCTCCATTTGTGTAATGAGGATGTGGGGAGAAGTAGGGACTAGATATGCTCTAAGGTCCCTTCTAGCTGTGACTTACCGTTCTGTGATTTCTCCTAGTAGATACTCAATACCTGCTTTCTCTTCACATTCTTCCTCCCAGGAAACAAGGCAGAATTGGGAATCCTTTTTTTCCTGTCTTGGGAAGGAAGGAGAAAGGTATTCAAAGAGTAGCTAGGTGGATAGAACATTGAGCCTGGAGACAGGAAGACATTTTAAATTCAGCCTCAGACACTTATTAGTCATATAACTAATAAGGGGGAAGGGAATAAGTCTTTATATAGTGCCTACTATGTGCCAGGCACTGTGCTAAGCTTTTAACGAGTATTATCTTATTTGATCCTCACAACAACTCTGGGAGGTAGGCACTATTTTTATCCTCATTTTACAACTGAGGAAACTGAGGCTATGACTTGACCTGGGTTACACTGCTAGCGTCTGACACTGGATGTGGGCAAACAAGCCACTTAACGGCTGCTTCAGTTTCCTCAGCTCTAAAGTGGGGATATACACCTTCCTCATGGGGTCGTTGCAAGGAGCAAAGGAAGCAGTATTTGTAAAAAGGCTTAGCATAATGCCCGGCACATAGTAGGCTCTATGTAAATGCCTATTTCCCCTATTCTCCCCACCCCCCCACTCCTTCTCCTCAAAGAGGAAGAGCGGGTTTGAGTAACTTACTCAAGATCATAGAGCAAATTAGTGGAGGAACCTAGGTCTCCTGGCTTCTAGCCCAGATCTCTTCTACCACAGCAAGGAGAGGGGAAACCATCCCGAGCCTCCAGCCTGTGCTTGCAGTAGAGGACAGAGAAAGGGAAGGGGGAGGCAGAAATCAGGACAGGCTTCTCTAGAGCAACCTCGCTCTGTTTTCCCTGTTTCTGCGCCCATCAGTGTGCCTGTGCCTAGGTCCCCAGCTCCTGACCTCGCCTGACCTCACACCTGCGGGAGCTGACCAGAATTCGGAGAGGAGTCGCGTGGCCGCATACTGTGAGTCCGGGAGCCAGGCTCACGCCCCTGGTCGTTCAGACTGCTGCCTTACCTGTGCCCCCCGGCCCACGTGGGTCAGCCTCCTGTTTCCTCCTCCTTCTTCGCTGCTGCTCAGCGAGAGGTGCTCTGTGCCAGCGCTGCCCTCGGGGACCCCACGCTTTCCCAAACCAAGTTCGACCCCGCGCGAAGCCCTTGTAAGTGCTCTCCACGAGATTCTCTCTTCCACCCCCTCCAAGTCCCCCAGTGTTAGGAAAGCGTCCCTGTCCCTCAGTGATCGCCTTCAGAGTTCTCCTCGTGCCATACTCCTCAGGGTTAGCTCCAAGTGATCGCCCTCCAGGGTCTCTCCAGTGTGATCCATCGCTGGGGGGGTGGGGGGTGGGTCTCTGATAGGTAGATCTCCGCTCAGCTATCTATTTCCTCGCTCGATCCGCTCCCCACGCTGGGGTTCTCTGCCGCCGTGATTGCCCTCGGGGCTCTCTCTGCATTGGATCCCCAATCTCCTCCCAGCAAGCGTCTCCTCTAGAACTCTTGGGCCGGGATCGATCTCTTTAAGCCAGCCTTCTTTCTTCCTGAGCGCCCCTCGTGGCTCTTTCACTGCAATTTCCTCAGAGTTCTTTCCAAGAGCACCTCTAGGTATTTTCTCTGCATCCTCTGAGTTCCCCAGCTTCACCCACAGCTGCTCTGCGCTCAAGACTCTTCAGAACGTCTTTTTTCTCCTCTGGTTTCTTGACCGCCCCGCCCCGTCTCGCCCCGTCCCGCCCCGTCCCATCCCGCTGAGCCCATTGCTCACACCCTCCTCCCTCCAAGATGCCCGCTGGTTCCCTATGCCAATCTCAAAGAGAACCAGCGCCCATTTCAATGGGTTTGTTAGGGTGGGTGGGTGGTGGGGAAGTGCAGGGCTGGGCTTGTTTTCTGGCCAGAGCCAGAAAGCTTAGCACTCAATCAACTCCCTTCTTACCCTCTCATCTGGGCCTCAGCTTCCTTAGACATTTCTAGGGTAACAGTAGAGTTAGGAATCCCTGGCCCTCCCCTTCCTTCCCTCCCCTGCCACCTCCCACCTCATGTGACCTGGAGGCCAGTTTGGGGTTAGGATGGGAGAGGGTAGGGAACACTCCCCAGAGTTAGAAATTGTGGCCTTTAAGAGCTAGAAGGGAACCTTCCATCCATCCATCCATCCATCCATCCATCCATCTATCTATCTATCTATCTATCTATCTATCTATCTATCTATCTATCTATCTATCTATCTATCTATCTCCATCTCTGTCTATTTATCTATCATAATCTCTATATGAAATAATCTATTTCAATTTTACAAATAAGGAAACTGAAGATAAATACAGGGGAAATTATTTTCAGAAGTTCCTTTAGGAAATCTGCATCAGAGCCTGGATTAGAACTTAATTCAGGGTTGTTGTTTTTTTTTTATTGGCAACCAGGTGACTTAATTCCACCCCCCCCCCCAGCAGGTCAGGACCTTCAATGAAGGTTCAGGAAGAAACAGCTAATCAGATGGAGAGTCAACAGGGGAGAGGGGTACTTTTGTGAAGTACAGGAGTGGAGCAAGCTTCCAGGGTGAAGAGGTTTCTGGGACATTGTAGAGAAAGTCTAGGAGAGTCCTGAGCTCATAACTCTTCCAGGAAAAATTACTTAACCTCTGCCTCAGTTTCTTCAACAATGGGGTTAATCCCAGGGTTGTTGAGAGAACCAAATGAGACAACACATATAAAGTGCTTAGTACCATGCCTGGCACATAGTAGGCACTTAATAAAAGCTTGTTCCCTTCCTTTCCACCCCCTCCCCATAGCAGCTGGTCAGGATTCCACTCTACAAAATCCCTGACAAGTCCTCCAGCCTCTTCTGGAAGCTCTTCACTAGCAGGACACCACTACTTCCCAAGGCAGCCCATTACCTTTAGGAGGAACTTTCTTACATCCAACTGAAATCTGCCCTGGCACCCTTCACTCAGGGTTCCTATTTCTAGCCTCTGGGGCCAAGCAAAACAAGTCTAATCTCTTTTCTCCAAGGCAGTCTTCAAATACTTCAAATACTATCATGTTTCCCCTAAATCTTCTCTTCTCAAGGATAAATATCCTCATTCCTATCCTTTTATGGTGTGGCCTCATGTCTTCTCACCATCTCATTCACACCCTTTTGGATACACTCCCAGTTTGTCAATGCCTTTCCTAAAATGTGGCAAAATGTGTCCCCAAAGCAGCACACAAGGGCAGCTAGGCGGCGCAGTGGATAGAGTACTGGCCCTGAACTCAGGAAGACCTGAGTTCAAATCTGACCTCAGACCAAACACTTGACACTTACTAGCTGTGTGACCTTGGGCAAGTCACTTAACCCCAACTGCCTTAAAAAACAAAACAAAACAACAAAAAAACCCAAACCAAAAACAGAGCAGCACACAATACTCCAGATGTTTTCTGATCAGGGCAGTGGACGGTGGAATTAACATAGGATGGAAGATTTGGGGCTGGACCTCAAATATTTAGTCTAACTCCAACATTAATTTATCCAATGTCACACAACTAGTAAGTTGCAAAGTTTGAATTTAGAATTAGGCTCTTTGACTCAAAATCACTCTTTCCACTGACCACTGGTTTTAAATCTACCTCCTTTGTTCTGGATATTATGCCTTTTTTTTTTGGCAAGATAAAAAGTTTAATTAACATGTGCTGATGGGTTGCCAAGTGGCCAGCAACTCCCTCTATGCTTTCCTTAATGAAGCCCAAGATCATATTAGGTTTTTCAGATTCCCAAAGGCTCACCCCTCTCCAATACCTGCCAATCTTCCTCATTCAAGAGTCCTTCCTGATAAAGTCAAAACAGGTACATGATTTAGACATAAAGGGAAATACCATAAGCAAATTAGGAGAGCAAGGAATAGTTTACTTGTCAGTTCTATGGAGAAGGGAAGACTTTGTGACCGAACAAAAGATAGAGAATATTATGAAAAGCAAAATGGATAATTTTTATTACATTAAATTTTTTTAAAATTTGCACAAACAAAGCCAAGTGCAACCAAGATTAGAAGGAAAGCAGAAAGCTGAGAAACAATTTTTACTGTAGTAAAAACAATTTACTACCAATTTCTGATAAAGGCCCAATTTCTCAATTATATAGAGAACTGAGAAAAATTTATAAGAATTCAAGTCATTTCCCAACTGATAAATGGTCAAAGGATATGAACAGCCAATTTTCAGATGAAGAAATTAAAGTTATCTATAGTCATATGAAAAAAGGCTCTAAATCATTACTGATCAGAGAAATACAAATTAAAACAACTCTGAGGTATCACCTCTCACCTAGCAGATTGACTACTATGACAAAAAAGGAAAATGATAAATGTTGGAGAAGATGCGGGAAAATTGAAACACTAAAGCATTGGAGTTATGAATTGATCCAACCATTCTGGAGAGCAATTTGGAATTATGCCCAAAGGGCTATAAATCTGTGTAAACTCTTTGATTCATCAATACTACTACTAGGTCTGTATCCCAAAGAGATCATAAAAAAGTGGAAAAGGACCCACATGTGCAAAAATATTTATAGTGGTGACAAAGAATTGGAAACTGAGGAGATGCCCATCAACTGAGGAATGGCTGAATAAGTTGCAGTATATGAATGTAATGGAGTACTATTGTTCCATAGGAAATGATGAGCAGGTGGACCTCAGAAAAACCTGGAAAGACTTACATGAACTGATGCTGAGTGAAGTGAGCAGATCCAAGAAAACATGGTATACAATAACAGCAACATTATGAGATGATCAACTTTGATAGACTTAGCTCTTCTCAATGCAATGATCTAAGACAATTCCAAACAACTCATGATGGAAAATGCTATCCACATCCAGAGAAAGAACTATGGAATCTGAATACAGATTGAAACATAGTATTTTTACTTTTTTTTTTCTCGTAGTTTTCCCCCTTTTGTTCTGATTCTTCTTTCACAACATGACTAATGTGGAAATGTTTGATACATGTATAAATGTTTAGTACATGTATAGCCTATATCAGATTGCATGCCATCTTGGGGAGGGGGAAGGGGAGAGAAGAAAAGATTTGGAGTTCAAAATCTTAAAAGTGAATGTTGAAAACTATCTTTACATATAATTGGAAAAAATAAAATACTATTAAGAGGAGATCTAACTCAAATGCTTTCTGTTGCCCCAAAACCTGAATCCCAGGCCAAGGTGGAGGTACAAAAGTCAGAAGACTTGAGTCCTAACTTGTCTCAGTCTTTGACCTTGGGCAAGTTCTAGTTTCTCCATCTACATAACAATGAGTTGGTTGGATTAGATGATCAGCAAAGTCCCTGCCGGCTCTGACATTCTATGTTCCATCTGGATATGGCTCCCTGCTATAATTTTCCATGCTCCTGTCTGGAGGTGGGGGGGGGGGGTCAGCCAGGTCAGGATCTTGCTCAGAATAACTTTTTAGAGGTTGAAAAGTCAGTCTCACTCTCATTCGGCTTGGCTTCAGGGACTGGGGCATCTGGGATATCCAGGGGGCCCTGGGGAGACTGGGTCAGGAAGCCAGAAGCAGGCAGGAGAGGGAAGCTGTGTAGAAATTGTCCAGTGCTGGTAATGATTAAACCTTCAATCCCTCCATGGTTCACTCAGGAACATGCCTTTTTCATTGTCATTAAGAACAGGCTTAAATAGACCAATGTGGAGGAAGGCCTTTTTCCTAATACCTAACATGCTGGAGATCCTAATCACCAAAGTCCAAGAAGAGAAACTCAGCAGAGAAAGAAACCCAGTCAGGGATATGAACAGAGCAAGCGTGGGGCAGAGTCCTGTGCTGAGCGCCTCCTAGGTGGAAATAGTGAGGATAATGAATTCCTGACCTCAATGAGTCCCTTGCCTTGAGGGGAAACAGTTCTCTCCTCTCAGGAGAGCTAGGTGTCCCCAGGTGTCACTCTCAAGCAGTCCCCAGTCCAAGCAGACGACATGGTTAATTCAAACGAACCAATTTTTTTTTGTATACTATTACAGTGTACCTAGTAACACCTCCTTCCTCTGTCTCTTTCGTCCCTTATAGACAGAGAGATCATTACCATCATTACTCAGTCTTTTCTTCTTCGGGCTGAGAAAGCCAGGGTCCTTTGGCCCTTCCTTTAGGTTTTTCCTTCCATGTTTCTTCAGTTCTTTTTTTTTTTTTCCTTTTTGGCTAGGCAATGGGGTTAAGTGACTTGCCCAGGCTCACACAGCTAGTGAATGTTTTGTGTCTGAGGCTGAATTTGAACTCAGGCCCTCCTGACTCCAGGACTGGTACTCTATCCACTGTGCCACCTAGCTGTCCTTCAGTTCTTGTAATGAATCTGGTTGAGTATTTGGCTTCCTGAAGAGCTCAATATGAACCTTTTTTCATTTCCAGTTCCTGACTTCTTCTGTCTTCTATTGGACATTTCAACTCAGTCCAGCAAGCCTTTATAGAACACCACCTGTGTAGCCATCCCTGTGCTAGATGTGGTAAGGGGAGACGGGATTCCTGTAGGGGCACTGAGGGAAGACCAAATTTCTGTCTTTGAAGGAACTTAGAATCACATTGAGGAGGCATGATTTATAAACAGGCACAAATGTCAAAACAGTTCAAGACTGTTTGCAAATGTGTTTCATCATTCATTCAACAACCACATTAGATAGCTACGTGGTTCAGAGGTTAGGATCCCAAGTTTAGATATGACACA